GAGATGCTTGTTTACTTCTCACTGCAAAGTGCTCTGCGCATTTCCATCCGACTCTGTGAATACCCATCTCTCTGCTCAAGTCAGCTGCCTGGTTTTGTAGCATGGCTATACTCACCTTTACACATCTTAAGATATTGATTACAGTTACTTTCACATTCCTTTTAAATCATACAGTTCTTCTCTCTGCATTATGTATAAACCTCATTTAGAAAATTTATCATTATGATTTATTAAATTCTATTGCCATACCCTATAATTTTTTTTCTATAAGGTAGACATGTTGGATTTCATGGTTGTTTTTGGCTTATTATTTTATTTTCATTTCTTCCTGTATAGGACCACACCTGTATTTCCTAGGCATATACTATGGAAGTCTTGTGAATCTACTCAGGTCTGCATTTGAATTTTATTGATGCCATGGCTCCTTGTGTTAAAGATGTTCTCTGCTCTGACCACAAAGGATGATGGGTACCCTCCAGAGATACCCTGCTTTTGTTTCCTATTTGACTCTGTGTTCTGACCTTTTGTTTTCCTAGAAACAACTATTTCATCTTCCCAAGGTGCATTCTAGTTTTAAATTTACCAGACAGTTGTCAACACGGTGTAAAGGGTTGATTGACATGGCATACCTTGACTTTCTCACTGAGTCAAATTCCTCAGCGAATGTAATGCCCCTTGACACAGTGACCTATTCCAGACATCCCTGTTCCTCCTCCAGATGAGACATTGCTCTGTGAATTCCCTCCCTCTAGGGTAGAGTGTCTTCTTGCTTCTCCCTAAGTCTTCTCTACTGTAGCTCAGGAAGATCAGGCAATCTTCTTAGCTTCCAAATATTCTACACTTCTCACAGATTAAGGTTTCAAATCCATATGATGGAGAGGACGTGTGGTTCTGAAAGGAACATTAGTGGGGACGTCTGTCCCCTCCCAGTTCTTAAGTGTTCCTCCACTGTCCCCAGGATACAGGTTTAGGTGGTTTCCTCCCTGAAGATTTATACTTTAGTTCCGTATTTGTGAGGT